GTTCAAATTATAATATAGGTTTCAGTTAGTTCTAAGTGCATTAAGGTTAAACTTTCCAAGCTACACTTAACATGGTGCTATGACTGTCGAACAGTTCGGATTAGCTGGTGCAGTGGAAACTCTATGCGGGCAAGCTTACGGAGCAGAGCAATGTCAAAAGCTTGGGACTTACACTTACTGTGCCATCATTTCCTTGATTTTGGTCTGTCTCCCTATATTCTTTCTATGGATGTTCACAGACAAGCTTCTTATCCTTACAGGCCAAGACCCTTCAATCTCCCATGTCGCTCGCAAATACTCTGTTTGCCTCATTCCTAACTTGTTTTAATATGCTATACTTCAAGCGCTGATTCGCTACTTCCAAACTCAGAGTTTGATCCTTCCACTGCTGTGTAGTTCATTTGCCTCTCTGTATTTCCATATACCTCTTTGTTGGGCTCTAGTGTTTAAAGCAGAAATGGGAATCATATGAGCAGCATTAGCCATCTGTTTATCATATTGGTTGAATGTTATCTTGCTTGGGTTATGACAGAACTGAGATCAGATGGTGACCTTTTAGTCATGAATTTGAAAAGCAGAGCTTACTTTTCTTAAGCTTGTTTCTCTACCAATGCAGAAAATGCATCCAAATAAACAATGCTCTCTTCTGAAAGGGCCCATCTAGCCTTGACTCAAAAGGTTTAAACTTTAGGAGTGCATGCAGAAAAATCTTCTACTGTATAAATTTTATTTCTATTTTATCAAATTAGAGCACGGGACAACCACGCATTAAGTTTCTTTAAAAAATGCAAAGAAAAGAAGAATGACAGCCATTTTATTATTTGAGGAAAAGTATTTCCTATTTCAACAAGAGAGCTTTCTTCTTGGTGGCTGTTTACATGGTCGGTCTCCTTTCGGGAAAGATGCGACGCCAATTGTTGAAAGCTGCAGCTGCTATACTTGTCAGAATCACACTAAAGCTTACATCAATCATTTACTCAATGTTCATGAAATGTTGGCCCAGATTCTTCTAGAAATGTACAGCATCATTGCTTACCTCTATTAGGACACTGACGCTGACACTGACGATGATGATGTTGACGGTTTATCCCTTTCATTGCAGACATAATACACACCACTATCTGGGGTTCTTCCGGTCAATAAGAGAAGCAATAAAGGAAGGCAGATTTGAGCAATTTCGGGAGATGTTTGCTGAGAAAAGGCGTATTCATCTTGCTGAAGTTGCTGTATGTGCATGATGTGCTCCTTTCTTTATCCGTTTTTTATTTTCAATTTTTTGAACTCTAACATTTTTATGTCATAACCTAATTTTGGTTTCTCAAAAAAAATATATTATTTTTCATGTAATTCTTTTAAGAAAAATATTCCTATTTTTTTTTTTAAAAATCAAAATTCAAAAAACTAATAATAATATTTCGAATTATAGGAAGATATTTTACTTACAGCGAGTTAGAATATCAGGTGAATAAATAATTTGGGGTCTTGTTAAAGAAATTTTGAAAAATATATTGAAATTGGTCGAAGACTACAAAGTTTGAGGAGCAACATGGTCAAAGTTACAAAGTTTGGCAATTCAATTTGATAGATGAGGGTTTAATTAAGAAGGAAGTTGAACATGATGGCAAAATCACAAAAAATGAAAAAGTGAAGTACATAATTGAACTTTAAAAGAGCTTGATTGGTTTAACCCGGAGCTAAAATGAAAAATGAAAGTTTATAAGTCATTTTAGTCAAAATCAAAAGGTTCAATAAGTAAAGATATATAATTGAGCTTTGGATCGACTTAATTAATATAACTAGGGATTTAATTAGAGAAAAATTAAAGTTTAAAAGTCAATTCAGGTCAAGATTGCAAGAACTATAGGTTCAGGGTCTAAAATGAATAAGCATTGAAGTTCTAAGAGGTTAATTGATTTAATCAAGGATAAAATCAAGAGAATTAAAAGTTTAAAGGGCCAATTAAGAACAAAATTGAAGAAAGAGAATTAAAAGTTTAAAGGGTCAATTAAGAACAAAATTGAAGAATATCAAAACCAAATATTTGAGGGCTTAATCGAAGAAGTCTAAGGGCATAATTGAAAGGAATCTCAAAGATTGAGACTAATTAAGGGTTTGATTGTGAAATTACAAGAAAATAGGGATCAAAATTGACTTGGAAAAGGCAAAACCCCTAATTAATACAGGTTACAAAAACTAAACCGTTGGGAAAAAAGTTGTGTATTAGGAAGAAACGAAGTCATTTTAATATGTTCAAACCCAAAAAACTAAAAAATACCAAACTATATGTCATTTAGTACTATTCACTTTCTTCCTCACTTTTGCACATTTTTGGTAGACTTCATTTCTGATTCCAAACATGTCATTCTCTCTCTTTTAAATGAATTACTAGACTTATCATATATGGGTATAAAGTATGAGATATCTAGTTGCTAACTCATCTTGAATAGCAGTAAAATTCTACATGTATCTTCAAATACGTCCCAAACAATACATGGAGGTTTAGTTGGTAGATTTGACAAAATTTACCTAGTAACTTTAATTCTTTAAAATAATATGTTCTAAAATTCATTTGACTTAGAAATTTAACGCAATATAACTCCATATGTTCAATATCTCCTTATAAAATTTCAATTCGGTCTAATATATGGTTTGAGAAATGTGTTTAATCTCACAGAACTGGTTACAAATGTTTTAAGATCAAATTCAGACATAACTTAGTTTGTATCATGTACGGATTTCATCAAAAGATTGCCTATGTCAGATGAAAAAAAGGTAATTTAGTGTTGATGGATAGATTCAACAAGTATTCTCATTTTATGGCTCTAGTTCATTCTTATAGTGCTTATTTAGTGGCTAAGGTATTTATGAATAATATTTACAAATTACATGGCTTCTCAGCTTCTATTATAAGTGATAAAAATCTAATATTTGTTAGCCAGTTTTGTAGATAATTGTTTAAGCATCCAGGAGTTAACTAACATTACTCAACAACCTATTACTTTTATCGCTCTCAGTTTGATGGTTAGACAAAGTTAGTCAATAAGTGCTTAGAAACCTATTTATGATGCATAACTAGTGATAACTCTACTCATTAGTTTAAATGATTTTCCCTTTTTAAATAGTGGTATAAAATCAATTTCTATTCTTCCACTAAAACCAATCCTTTCAAGGTTCTTTATGGATTTCCTTCACCTACTCATCGGTTTATAGATTGTAGAATGGTTAAATGAGAAAATCTAGCAACAATCTAAGTATTGATTCACTAGAAGGGTTTGTCTCTGGCAAATCTGATATATGGGTTTGCTTTAGGGTTCCTACATTCTTCTTAGAAAATAAGGTACATTTGAAAGAGAAATTGCTAGAGGTTTGAATGAAAGAGACAGAGATAGTGTTTGAGAATGTAATTAAAATCATGTTTTTTAAAAATTTAAATTTTTTAAATTTTTTTGTTTTTATTTTCAGATTTTTTAGCTTATATAAAATTTTTTTTAATAATATTATTTTAATATATTTTTAAATAAAAAATATTTTAAACTATAATTACTACCATACTTCCAAACAACTCTAAAATAACCTACAACCAATTGAAGTGATTACCTCTTAAAAATAAATGGACCGTTGTGATGCGCTCTGTTTCATTTAGTCGCTACGCAACGTTTTGCTTATTTGTCATTCGTAGCGTTTTATCTCTTCCTTTCAGTTCTTTATTTGCCTTGGAACATTTAACTTCCTGATAGTTATCAGCAGAGTCTAGGAGGAAAATCATGGCTAAATTACATGTAACTGAATTAGTCTGGGCATGAGAATATTATGAAATGATGAGCTTGAAATTCAGGAAATCTCCCTCTCTTACTCTCCCTCTCTGATTTAACTATTTTTCTGCCATTTTTGCTCGTCTGTGATCATACTTTCCATTAGCACTCCTGGAGAACATCCAAAATGGAGCTGTTAGTATTTGACTTGCTCCACCCACCCATCTGACTCACTCCATAACTTACCCATACTCATCGACGAGTCGCCTCGATTCCACTCCATTTCAATCGTTAATGTTTTGGTTATTGAACAATTTCGAAAGGGTGACCGTGTGGCGTGCGCGACCGCGAGATTGAGAGGGTGGCTGGTTGGGTGACGAGAGACGGCGGTGATGCTTTTGAGGTTTCTCAAATTTAGCTTTTTCTTATATCACATTTTCCTTCTATACTCCATGTTTTTAGATTTTTCTGGCCACTGGTGATGTTAAATAACTATCCATCATTAACCAGAAAGAAGGAAAAATAGTGAAGAAGTAATTAACATCAGAATTACTGGCCGACATGAGAAGGCTTGCAGACCGATCTGATCTGAAAACGTGTTATGAAGCTAAACATGGATAATCGAAGTATGAATGTACATGTGCTTGGATAACGGGAAAAAGTAATCAATTTTTCTCACAACTTAACCATCGATCGTTCATATCATCCTCTCCCCTTTCTATTCAGTTCAGGATTTGAGGACAAGTTTCTCTATAACTATTTCCCCACAAAGGGAGCAGAAGTCAATTCCAGTTCACTGTGCCATGGCAACCTTTCATTACTAGGGATTACCATGGTTGCATGTAAGAAATATAGTGTACTCGACAGAAAGGAAAAATAAAAATAAACTTGCATTCCCCGAACAAAGTCACTTGTAAAGGCCACTTTATCACATTTTGCATCCCAGTTCTCAGACTGCTTACAAGCCATAACAGAAGACCTAAGGTTACCCAGAGCAGTAAAAAACAGTATCGAGCAAAGTATCCCCCCTTAATGGGATTCAATAGGTAACCATTGGAGATGGGTAGAAGGGGGAGTGATCCATTCAGTTGCATTTATCCAACACTGGAAAATGAAAGCATTCCAGTAATCGCCTGCTAGAGATTCCAATACACCATTTTGCATTTCATTCAAAAGTACTTTACCATAGACCTGCTATGCATCGGAGTTGATTTAAGGCAAACAATAGCAACTATGGAAATGTTCATGCAATATCAAAACTGAAAACTATCATTAACAAACTGTTTATTGGTAATCCACCAAATATTCGCAAAATAGAGGCACAGTAAGCTAAATGAATCGAATGTTTAGTTTGCCAATTATGGCAACTCTTCAAAGGATCATTGACTATGGTTTACTTTATTGGGAAAAAAAATTATCTCCAACAAACTGCAAAATGGGGAGGCTGGAATTGTAAAATGCTTAAGATGCAGTGGACTGCTTCAAGTATGCAATGAGATCAGCACGCTCCTGTGGCTTCTTCAATCCAGGGAAAACCATCTTCGTTCCAGGGATGTACTGCATAAACAATTTGCACTTTAGGACAGCAACGCAAACTCACAAAAATAAACACGGTATATGAGGCACAAACACCAGTGTCAAGACATGAGTTCTTCATCGGTATCTAAGATAGTCAGATGATTCAACCAACTATAAATGCTAGGCTATCTTATCACATTGAAATGAAATGTGAAAGTTCATTTCATACACCATAGGATAAATATCATCAATGATGGGGTCACTTTACTTGATTATTCAACCTTGATCTCACAGCAAAGCCTAAACATTATAATCTACACGCTCCATGTTCTCTGTTTGCAAGTCCTTCAATTTTTAACCCAGCCTTCCTCATTAGACCTAGCATATTGTCCAGCATGTTTCTCTTCAAGACCTTAAGTTACCAAATGCTCATTAACAATGTCATATAGAAAACAACTAAGTCCAGGTATCATCACAGAATTATCACAAAACTTCAATGTATAAACCGTACTTAACCCGTTAGAGACGCACTGGCAAACATGCTAAGTCATACTATGCTTTAGAGTTGATTAATACCTTCTTGGGGTTGAGCAAGTAATCATACAAAGTCTTCTCCTCCCACGTGACGGCCCTGTTCTTGTTAGCAGCAGAGTAAGAGTATCCAGCAGTTGTTCCTGACTGCCTTCCAAATAAGCCATTCAGATTGGGTCCTGTACATGTAAACAGTCGAAGCTAATTAAAACCTTGAAAACACAGGAACCAAGCAAATAATTTTAACACAAATCTTAGAAGAAATTGACTATCTAAAATGTTCACTCATTAAATACCAGATCCCAAATCCCAATCCAAAATTTAAGCCCAGCTTCCACCTCTCACCAAAATCATGATTTTCTTGCA